TTGATGTGTGATAGGGATAATCTAAATGTAGATGTTAAACTTTTCTTAAAACAACGAAATAGACATTGTAACTCTGCCAAAAGATTGTATGGAAAATTAACAGCTTTGCATCATTCTTCGGACATTAGCAATGAACAACATAGGAAACTTTTTCCCTTTTTAGAATTTGAAAGGGAGAAAATTGATTATATTTCCTATGATTGTGAACAAACAATTGCTGATTTTGATAAAGTTCCGGATAATAGATATGCATATGGACTAGTAAAAATTGATGAATGTTTGAATGCTAATGAATTAGTTGATATTGTAAATGACACCTTGACCAAAGACGAACAAATTAAGATTTTGAAAAGAACTGAGAATTCAAAAACTGATCTTTAAAACAATTACGCTGATATTATAAATGATTATGATAATATTAGCAAAATTGAAGAGGAGGAAGTTATTGATTGTTCTTAGTTGTCTATCATTAATGTCTCTTCAATGGGTAAAGGCAAAGAAAAATGTAATGATTCTGAGGTTAAGATTGACAATGATCAACATTCAACTTCGAAAGTTGTTGATCATAACCATGTAACTGTTGAAAATTGTCAAACAGATAGTGACAATGATGAAGAGGTGTCCACAGAGACAAATGTTCCAAAAGTTTCTAAAGACAACAACATACCTCGTATAGTTGAATATCAGGTGTATGAAGAGACAAAGGAATTCAACAAAGTCATGAAAGAAAAAGGTTCTCACTATCTTCAACCCAATTCTATGGTTTATCTAAAGTTTAAATGTTCGGATGATGTTGTTTTTCCAAACCAAGTTTTTGTTACAACGGGTAATGGAGAAAGTGTAAAACCTGAAATAGACAAACTGGTTGATGAGGATAATAAGAAAGCTTCAAAGGAAGGATTCTTTTCGAAAGCACCGTTAAGAACAACCTTACCAAAAGCTGTAACACCTTTCAACGTCAAAAATCAAGTCGAAACTGGACCAATAAAACTGACAAATCTCAAGTTGAAAAAAAAAATAAATGTCAAAGTTACTGAAATATCAAAACAAGTTTGGGTTGAAAAATCTGAAAAATCAAAAGAAGTTTCAAAGGAGGATGAAGTTATATCTCAAATTGTCTAAATCAATTCTCAAGATTTTAAAGATCAAGTTAACAAACTTTCAAAAGAACACAATTTCAAAAAGACAGGCAAGATTTTTTTTTTGGCATAACATTGAGTCACGCAAGAAAAAAAATGTTTTGCTTAATGAATCTTCTGAAAAGAAAGTGTCTAACAGTGTTCAGATTTCTTTTGAAAAGAAACAAGTAAATAAGCCAAATTTCACTTAAACTTCAACGATTTCATCTCCTCAACCATCTCAAAATGATTCTTTTATAAACAAGGAGCATGTTTCGAAATCAACACCAAATTCTAATGTTCAAACTTCTTATCCTGAGAATTATGTGAAAAATAATCAATCAAAGAGTTTTCAAAAGAATTAATCTAATCAAAGGTTTCCAACAAATACTTTTCAACGAAACGATTTTAGATCAAATGAACAAACGAATTATTATCATGTTTCACCTCTAATTCAATTCGTGAAATCTCAAAAGGTTTTTCAAAGAAATAATGTTGGTTATCAAAATCGATATACTCCTCATGTTTCAACACAAAAACCAACCATACACTTTGAGAAGTTACAATTTCATGGACGAAAGTTCAAATCTTATAAATCTAATCAAACACCTTTTCCAAATTCACCCTTGAAACAATCGGTAAAACCTTCATTTGTTAAAGGGAAAACAAATGTGAAGAATCTCAATCGTTGGTTGGAAGGTAAATGAAAGATATTTTAATCTTCGAATTTTTCTCAAGAAATAATCAAGGAAGAATATGAGAAGTATCTGAATGAATCATCGAAAGGAAGTTCATCTTCACAAGAGTCAAATATTTTGGTCAAACAATCGAAAGCTCTTCCAAAGGAAAAAGTTAATGAGAACCAAGCTTCAAAGAGAAAGGAAAAAGTCAATGACGATCTTAAACCAATGAATACTTACTTTTATGTGCCTTTACCTAACGAAGTAGACGTAATTGATAGTCTCAAGTCTAAAGTTCGTAATTGGATTAAAGGATCATCGTTTCACAATATTTTTCAAACTAATTACCACAGACCCAAACAACCTTGGGGACCTAAATTCTTTCATTAATTGCAGGTCATGAGTGACGAGGAGTATGATGACAAATGGTATATTGATAGTGGTTGCTCTCGTCAGATGACTGGTCGGAAGGAGAATCTTCGTGATTATAGGTCTTTGGAGAATGCTAGAGTAGTGAAGTTTGGCAACAACAACAAATGTCATGTACGAGGATACGGAAAAGTCACAAATGGGAATTTCACCATCAACAGAGTTGCATATGTCGAAGGTCTTCAACATAACTTGATAAGTATTTCGCATCTTGCTGTTGGCACTGGCAATCAAGTGGTGTTCAACGAAGAAGGCAGTGTAATTTTGTAACGACCCAAATTTCAAAGAAAAATTTTCATTTTAGAATAGGAAAACATATTCACATACATTAAGAAACCCAGTTATAATTTTTTTCAAAATATAAGTCAAATACAACTTTCATTGCAAACATCAGAGTGTCCCATAAAACGCCTATGAGAGAGTGCACACCACACCATCACACCCTGTCCTTGCCCTTGGGATCAGAAGTACTTGAAACCATAAACAAACCTGTAAGCGCGAAGCTTAGTGAGTTCTCCAGAGCATACCCCACATAAAATCGACATAACATATTAGCTATAAAAGCTACCTCTACCTCATGACACATAACAATTAGCTATAAAGCTACATTTACCACAAAATGCATATCAATTAGCTATACAACCTACCTCTACCACATAATACATATCAATTAGCTATAAAGCTATCTCTACTATAGCCACAAAGGCTATCTCTACCCTTAGCCTCAAAGTCTATATCTACCATTAGCCCTGGAGGCTATCTCTACCACTAGCCGTGAAGGCTATCTCTACCACTAGCTGTAAAAACTATGTTGGGATTAAAACCCTAATTGTGATTTGATGAACAAGATGCTGAAAATAAGAACAAACACAAATATGAAGATTATGTCGAATGATCACTTGATTTATTCAAGACATGAGGAATAAATCACACTTTCAGCATAGACTAAAGAATCTAACACTACATAAGAAACCTCACATGGCAGATACATTTTGCCTCACTCTCTTAACCCTAGTAATGAATAATACATGACTATTTATAGGGGAAAAGACAAGTCTTGGGATTTTAACCTACACTTCATCAAAGGGGCCCATTACCATCATCCATGGAGTGCTTTGAAACCCTACAATCTCCCCCTCAAAGTATGGAATGGATGACAATGCTTTAACTTCCAAAACAAGCATCTAGGGAATAAAAAGATCTTGCAATAAGGAATAGATGAAGCAATCCACGAGTATTGATTCTTCAATAGTCTTCAACCACGGGCTCTAGGATATATAAATCAAGCACTGAAGTAATTTCTTTAAACTTCATTTTCGAATGTAATCCCAAAAAAATCTTCATGAAACCAAGCCTGCCATAAAAACCCATTTCAGAACAAGGAAACCGAATCACTTCTTGTCTTTGAAGAGCTCCCCCTCCAAGTCACAATGATCTTAAAATAAGCTAATGATATAAGCCATCAAAAAATATCATGTAACAACCCAAACTTTAAGATTCGTAATGCCACTTGATCGAGAAAATACTAGAATTCGGAGATATAACAAGTCCTTAGTAGAGTTCGATAAAGAACTTCCGCTGTAAAGGATACTTCTCTATAAAAGCTTTAGCAGAGCTCGATGAAGAACTTCCACTGTAAAAGCTACCTTCATAATTTTACCACAAGCTTTATCAAAAATCCTCAACTTTGAAAAGTCGCAAATCCAATTTCGAATGACCATACCAAATTCTCCGCCGATTTATAATATAAAACATGATTATAAAGCCTTCAAATGGTCATGAGAATGGTCTTGAATAAATAAAAATTTACTAAGCTCCCCCGCGACAAAATGATATACACAATAAAGTATAAAATCTGAAAAAAGTCATGAAAATTTGACGTTATCACGAAAAATGACTTTCCGACCCGCCAAGACTTGATTGAATCTATAATTTCCTGTTCACGAAAAAATGTATGCATTAAAAATTTCAAAACTGTTCACCGCCCCCCAAAGATTTACTACTTTTTTTTGAATAATGGGTCGAAACTGTCACTTGCTAAAAGATAGGGGCTGGAATGGTAATTCAGAAATAATATACCCCTTTATTTGTAACAACATTTGGAAATGGTCCAAAACTGCCAAGGCATGAAAAGTATAGGGACCAAAAGAGTCAATTCGCTGAAGTTTCAGGGACTAATAATGTAACATGTTTATCTTCTTCCTCAATTCATTGACCGCATAAATGAACATGACTGGAATCGTGAAATCATCAAAGCGAACACCGATAACAAAGAGAACGTGCAATCCACTACAAGAAAAATGCCTTTTAATGACGCACGAACAATGAGACTCGCTGATTTACGATACGCATTTTTGTGCGTACTTAAAAATAATGTCAGACTTCCAAAATTTGAAGGATAGACAACACGGATTTTTGCGTGCCCTTAAATTAGTGTCTTTAGGAAAAAAAATAAAAACACGGAGGGCACTTTATCTTAAACGTGCGTCCTCTATAGGTGTCGCTTTATAAATTTAGTGAAGCGACCTTCAGAAGACAACGGGGGAAAATGAAACCCTAAAATTTTGAAAACCCGCCTTTCTTTTCTACCTTCTTTTTTGCATCTTCACAATCAACTCTCAGCTCTTGTTTCTCTATTGTGAGAAGTGACGGAAATAAGGGAGATTGGGATGGATTTGCCGGTGATGATGAACGGAGGTGCTTTCCGGTCAATTTCGGAGATGGTGTTGTCGATTTCGATGGTTGTTTCCCTCTTGCCCTAATTATCTTATCGATGCTCCTTCGTTCCTCGTCCAAATTGCCGCCTAACCTTAGTTATCGACGCTCCATCCTTCCTTCCTCACTTGTCATCTTCTCTATCTCTTCACTGTTTCCATCTCCTTCCATCTCGGGTCATGTCTTCACAAATTCGACGAAAAGAACTAGGGCTTTGAACCACATCTCAATAAATGTAATTAAGCTTTTCTTTTTTGTACTTCAACGGTTCTTTTCCTTACAATATCTCCAGAAGTTGATCCCGAAGCTTACCCGTGTCAATCGGAGGTCGAAAATTACGTTGAAAGACAATCGCGTCTCTGCCCTTTGTTTATTCTTCGCTTCTATAACCGTCTCATCTTCCTTCATCTTCTCGGTTTTCCATCAGGTAATTATCGGTTTCGCTTCTCTTTATTTTCTTGATCTGAACTTAAGTTCTTCATATCCTATTGAATGATGTTAGTTTTGAATTTATTAATCATCGTTACACTCACACACAAGTAATTTTGATTGTATTTTGATCGAATCCAAGAAAACAAGTTCATATACCCCGTTTTGAATTCTACATGTCAATTTATGCATTTGAGAAAGCTCAAAAGTTGGATCCCACTTCAAAACTGTCCATCTTCAATGGATTGAAAGGTTAACCACTCTCACTCTCTAATGGTGTTCTGGGTTTGCCCTCACTTTATGTTTTTATCAGGAACATGATCCAAACTTTGTTTCCCTCTATTTTTTTATGTTTTTGTTTCCCTCTCGTTAAATTTAAACTTTTTCTTCATTATTTCATACTTTCTGAGGGTTTGAATCTAATTTGGGGATTCTATTGATTTTGGGTGGTTAAACTCAAAGAGAATTTGGAATATAGCGATGCATAAACTTAAAATCGTATGATATTCTTTCTTTATAGATTTATTAGGTTATTTTTCCAATTTCAATTGACTTCTAGATAATTGTTTTTGGATTGGACATTTTTGCCCTTTCCTGGTCAACCATGTAGTGATACATACCATATTTTCTCCATTCAAGATTGGTCTGGTTCAATTATACTTTCCCTCTTTCTCTCACAGGTAACGTGATTGATCTATTTTTTTTTTATTATTTTTGTTTATGTTCTTCATCATTTTCTTCCATTCTGAAATTAGGGCTTTTGATAGCTAACGTGATTAATCTTTTTGTATTATTGATTTTGTGTAACAATATGAAACATGTTCATTACAACCTCTCTAGCAACTTTAACTTTTAGTTGTATAATAATCTTGATGTGTTTGTTTTTTTGTTTGTAAGTGACTGAAATAGGAGCAACTGAGAATTGCCAATCACCTGAAAGGACAATATATCTTATGGGTCGGGCTTTTGGGACTTGCCTTGTACTTTCTGTTGTTACACACAATCCTGAGATTGATAATCTTTTAGTTTTGTCCAACTCAGGTGTGTGTATGTTTCAACTGATGAATAATTTCTTTTTTCCACCATTAACATATTCAATTAATAGTGCTGTCTCCTTTGCAGCTACATGTTTCAATGGGTTACAATTTCGTCCTTTGATACCCTTTTTAGAAGCCATGCCAAAGAAAATTAGTGCCAACTTGCATGATATGCTAAATCTGATCAGATGTATTGAATCAAATTTACTGAAAGCTATAGTCCTAAAAAGATAAAGACTGTGAAAAAAATGAGTTAGTAATCACCTGTAGCAAATAGAAATGTGTTAGTAATGCATACTTCCTCTAAAAAAAAGATAATAAATCAGAAGAAGTTGAATAACAGATGTGAGACATGAGCAAGAAACATGTTTGTGAAGCTAATTTTATTAAGTAACATACCTTGACATGTTTCATGCTAAAGTTAGATACATTTCGGTAAAGCAACTGTTTTTTTATGTTAGCCTTTAGTCCAGATGTCATCTCCTGATTAAATAAAATAAAAAGCATAAATAGACAGTATATAATAATATAAGAAATATGATGTTGGTAAATTTAAAGAAGAAAAGGGGAGCAAAGGCAAGAGCTGTATTACATGAAGCTTGGTGTGAAAAGCTTCATAATAACAGAATCTTTAAAGAAGGTTAATCATGCTACATTCCACATAGAATATTCATGAAGTGTTTACTGATGTTGTATATACTGTAATTGCAGGACCCACGACTTCCTTCAGATCTCAAAGGAGAAACCTTCCTCGCCTAGTTGAGTTTCTTGAGGTTGCTACTAAGCAACTAGTATAGCGACAAATATTAGTTATCTTTTTTATAAATGTCAAATGTCCTTTATTTATTTATTTGTTTATTATCTGAATCATCTAGTATTTTTTGGTGTTAGTTATGAAGGGATTAATAAGTCGCTGATTGAAAATAGTGCAATCACCCTGGATCAATGAAAATAGTGCAATCATGATCCTTACTAGTTACTTCAATACTTGCATAGTGCATACCAGTTATATGAAACCAAAAGAGGATAGACCATCGAATAATTAACCCTAACTCTAAATCCACAACCAAACAAGGAACAGGAAGTAAAGCAAAGATCACAGATTCTCAGTCTATGACACCTTAGTCACATACAACCTTGGTGTATCCACTTAGCAACTATTGACATACTAGTAAAGACCTTTTTAGTTCTCAAGTAAGTAATTATAGTAACACAAAATACTCCTATAGTATTATAAGTTTATGTTCTGTTCTAATGTTTTCATTGTAGTAGTGTTGGTAAGTTTTAGCCTTGTTACAACCTCACAACCATTCTTAGGTACATGCTAGTCACTCCTCGGAAGATATAGTTGATCAGCCTATATCACTCCTAGATTTGACTATACGTCTCTAAGCCTAATTGTGTTGTTCAACAATCATAATAATTTTCTTCTGTCCTAGAGACACTGATTTTAGTATGAAAGCAGGTATGTATACTTAGTTAAATATTTTATTGTTTAAAAGTATAAACTCTTGGTCGGAGCATTTGAATTCTGTTGTGTTTATAGTTTGTATATCTTTTATGGGTTGATATACACGATTCACTATAAACAATGCTCTAATACAAATCTGTTACACCCTAAAATAGGAACGGAGGAAACGTTTTGGGGGTGGAGGACGTCATGTAAAGTATTACAACAAAGCATAATAGTAAACACACAACAACATCATCCATCGCATTAATAATATAATTTAATACAAGTGTGTTCTATATAATTATAAGACGCCAAAATATGAATCAAAATAAGAGACGAGTCTTGAAAGCCCCGTCTCCTCAAAAACCTGGCATCGATACCTATCTACTGATGACCTGAGAATACAAGTTATTTTGAAAGAGTTTATCAACATAGAGCTGGTGAGTTCATAAGCATTTTAGTGTCATTGTTTCTATGAAAATTTTTGTAAGCCTTTGATGTATCAGTTTGTAAATGTTTGTAGTAAATGTTTGTATCTCTTATAAAATCCTATATTTTCTACTAAAAAGTAGCCTTCTACCAAGGAATCAAATGTTCTGTATGTTTGTTTCTTGTAAACGTGTGTATTTTTCCCAAGTGTGACTATCATTAACAAAATATAGTTTTTACATTACTGTTTATGTGAGAAGATCACAATGTGAATGCAATGGGAAAATAATAAAGTACTGTAGTGTTGTATATAATATCTACTGCTGTACTAACTACCTTAAACCAATTGTTAATTAAGGTATAATGAGATATGGTTGTAACCATGATCGACTAGTAAACACGACGCTCGAAGACGTCGAAATGGTATGACATTCTTCACCCGTAGACCTGTAGGTCCCACTGGAGCTAGCAGCAAGGTGTAGGATGGTTAGTCTTGTATAGATCTATACACAAATTCACACTCTCCCTCCAGGAGACTCTGGTTACAAATCGAGCCGTATCAGTGATGCCATGCCCCGAAGTAGTGGCTCACATTTATGTTATAGTATTCTTGTATATGTATTGTATGTACTAGTGTAGTGTATGTTCTCTCTGTCTAGTATGTATTATGTTCTCTAGTGTATAGTGTGTAGTATGTATTGTTTCTCGTTATAACATTCTCTATTTGTTTCTCTTTATAGTGAGTATTGTTTCTCATTATAGTATTCTCTATATGTTTCTCCTTAGAGTGAGAATTGTTTCTCTTTATAATATTCTCTATCTGTTTCTCTTTATAGTGAGTATTTTTTCTCGTTATAGTATGTATTGACTCATGTATGAACTGACTCTTTGTATGTTTTATTGTACTAGAAATATTAAGTAGTCACTTCATAAACTATACCTATTATAATTTACTTGTAGAGTTGTTTGTATAACTGAGTGTGTTCAACTGAGATAAAAGCTTTTATCTCTATACATATATACATAATATATAACTAAAGATCAAACGACACTCAAACAAACAACAGGGTTGTCACACCTCAAAACCACGAACGGCGGAAACGTTCAGGGGTGGAGGAAGTCATGTACAGTATCAGAACAGTGTAATATAATAAAAAAGCAACAACATCATCCATTGCATTATAAGTAGAGTTTTAATACATGTGTGTTCTTTCTTAATGTACAACAATAAAATGAATAATCAAAATAAGGTGAGTCTTGTCTGTGCTCCATCTTCTCGATAACATGGCCATCTCACCTGTCTAACTGATGACCTGATAATACAAGTTATTTTGAAAGCGAGTATCAGCTTTAAAGCTGGTGAATTCATAAGTAATTAAGGTGTCATTGTCTGGCTTATGAAAATCTATTATGAAGGCCATGTAAACCTTTAATGAAAATGTTGATGTAAGTATGAAAAACCCTAGAAAACCCCTTGCTTTCTATAAGTATGAAATGTAGTCTTCTACCAAGACCCGAACATTTTGTTAGTAAAATGATAGTTTTTCCTTCTATTGACTAGTACTAAAGTACTTAGTCTACTCATCGTTTATGTGAAAGTATCAGAAAATAAAGTAAATAGGAAATGTATACTAAAGTAAATATTATCCTGAGGTACTAGGGCTAACACAACGTATGTAACTGTTAACCTAAGGTACTAGGGCTAACACGACATTTATAACCTAATGGACATTCGAAGATTGTCCAATTGTCCTCTGTAGCAGCAGCAGGGCGGAGGAAGGGTTAGTCCCGTAAAGGTACTCCTAGTATAAGTAATAACCGTAGGCATCCGTAGATGTTCATCACCCACTGTTGCTAACAGATGGGTTCCGGAATGGTTAGTCCCGTTCGTATATCCTGAGGTACTAGGGATAGGGGCCCATCTAGGTATCCCGAGGTACTAGGGATAGGGTCCTGTCTAGATATCCCGGGGTAGTAGGGATATACAGGAAGATTTACACAGAAGGTACTAATAAATCATCCTCGCAATTCGAGATACCAGTATTCATGTTAATGTACACAGTTAAGTGTATCTACGTAAAGGTACTCATGTAATGCGTTCATGTAAGCGTGTTCATGTATCATGTAAGTATATGTAAACGTACTCATGTATCGTGTAATCAAATGTAAATGTACTCACGTATCATGTAATGTACTGGTATAGACTCATGAATGAACTGACTCTTGTGTGATTCCTTGTAATAGGAATTATGTTTGATATCTCCAAATTATCCATATGATAATTTACTGGAAGGTAATTGGTTGTTCAAGTAGGTTTATACACTCTTACTACTCAAGGGTGTCAGAAACTAAATGAAAGTTGTAAACTATAACATCAATACATATATAAGAATATAAGTGTACATGCATAGTTTTGTTCAAGAATGTAAAATGATGGTTTTGCAAGATATCTAGGAGTTTTGAACAATAATTAAGAATGACTTGATGTCATTTTAATAAACATTTCAAAACTAATACTTTTGTTATCAAGGTATTTTAAGATAGAAACCCACTTCATGTGTCACCTTTTGAAATATGTGAAATCTACTGAGTGAAAACACAGTTATAAAATACATAAGATTGATTTAATAACATATTGTTTTCTACTTGTATTCCCCCCCCCCATTAAATCGTTTAAAATCATTTAAAACATTGATTAAGGGGTATGAACTCACCTGTAGTTGGTGATTGGGATTAACTAACGGTATAGGATTGCTAGGTGTCAAGCGAGGACTTGTACACACACTACGATCCTAATGAACATATAATCACACATATATGAATTCAATTAGTCCTAAATCACTAATTGATAATGTTAAGACATCCTAGACATAATAAACACTTTATATAAGTGTTTTAAGCCCTAAGGATTGCATCTAAGCTAATGTGGGACAAGGCACTTGTGTTTAGGGTTCCAAAGGACCATATATGTGAGTTTACTCCCCATATACCATCACACATAGAGTTTACGGTTGTAAACTCTTGAGTTTACAGCCGTAAACTCCCAACTTTGGGGGTTTGGTGTGTTTTGAAGTCCCTAATGATTCGTAGAATTATTCCAACTTGGTGGCTAAGTCCTTGGAAGGGTTTAAGGTCTAGAAACACTCCATTTAGGAGTTTACGGCCCTAAGGCCATTCCCCTTAGAGTTTACGGCCGTAAACTCTAAGTATGGGTGTTTTGGATGATTTCAAGTCTCATGCACAAGTGGTATAATTTCTAGGCATTTGTTTAAAGCTAATGGGGACCCTAGGCACACTTTGGTGCCCTTTCTTGGTGTTTACGGCCTAGGAGCATTACCAAGGCCGTAAACTCACTCTAAGAGGTGATTTTGATGTGATTTTGTCCTTCAATTAAGTGGGAAACAATTCCATGTAAATGTCTAAAGCTTTAGGTGACTTAAAAGCACCATTTGGTCCATTTCAATGGAGTTTACGGCCTAAGATTACTCTTGGGCCGTGAACTCCCATGTGTTGGTGTTTCTTGATTGTTTTCTTGTCCTTAATACACATACAAATGAGTCTAAGGCAGTAGCATAACACAAGGGTCGGTCTCGACTTTGTTTCGGGAGTTTACCGCCCAAGAACACCTTGGGGAGTAAACTCCTAAATCTAGTGATTTAGCCTTCTAAATCATGTTATAACTACATATAATGCTTTCTAACACTACTAGAAAGAGGTACTCATGATTTGGGATAAAAACCCGAAGATCCGTGAGAGAGAAAATGGCTTTTCTTTAGTTGGAAATGCGAATAATGAATGAATTTGGTTCAGAATTCTATTTATAGTCCCGAGATATTTTTGGTAGAAAATATTTTTATTCCTGAAATGACCTCTAATATAATAGGGTGATGGAATAATAGAGTTGCACTAAACCCT